TTTTTACGAAATCAGTGGTATGTCATCGAGCTTATTTTGGTTCTTGCTGATGCATTGGATGATTAAGTATCAACAGAAAAGTCATGTTTGCTCGTAGTTTTAGGTGTGTTGCTCACAAATTTGAAATTATATCTTGCATTACTAACAAAAGAATGTATTTTTATACATAATCTATTAGTTTTCACGCATCATTTCATAGTTTTTTTAGTTGTATTTTATGCGCAAATTGTTTAAATTTTGTTTACGCTGAGAATACTTTTTACATATGGTTTAAAGTCGGGAAATTATGCATTTGAGCGAATTGTCATTATTGTCCTTCACTAACAATGCTTATAAATTAAATGCGTGTGTAATGGAAATAGCGTATGTTAACTATAGACAAATGCTTTAGTTTGCAAGAGAGACTGATACAGCTGCGCTTGTTATATTGCTGAATCTGAGAAGCCTCATTGCCTCCATGTTGATAATCCACGGTAATCTTGACGACAGCAGAAGTGCTGCAGCACTAGTAAATTATATGTCAAGAAGTTAGAATTCCCTCCGCATTCGCTGTCTGCGAAATGCGGAGCCACTTAGGAAGTATCGTGATTGACGGCAAATGCCAACAGGAACTTCTTGCTGCCAAAACTTTCGATGGTTTTCTCTTTTGAGCAGTCTGATGGCTGATTTGTCATCCTGGTTGATTCTGCAAGTATTGTATGTACTGGCTGTTTTTGCAGGTAACCTATCAAAGGTGCTACTTTATCAGTCACGATATGAAATGGCGAAGTTGGCAATGAAAGTTATCCACTGGAATGAGACTGATGGTATTTGGTATGATTATGACCTAGAGAAAAAGGTTTGTCGTTTTTGAGGAGGGAGGGAGGGGGTGGGAGGGCTAAATAAGTTTTGAAAGCTGTGCAAATTAAATGTTTCTGAAACTCTTTATAGAAGCAATAAAATTCTCTCGATTTTCAGCGTAAATATGATGGGACAGGTTTTGGATCAAAAACAGATCGAGTTTTTAGAACCCAGGGACCGATGCATTTAAAATAGCTGGAGTCTATTTCATTGCCTGCCCATTTTTCGGTGAATTTCCGCATCTGCTACTATTTCACTGAAAAAAATTTCCCTTTCTTTTGCCTCATCCTTTCTTCACCGTTGTGATTATTGTACATCAGTTTCTTCATGTGTTCTCTTCGACTGATTGTTGAAATGTGCGTGAGAACTTCAGCTTCATTCAAACACTTATTATATATCAAATGCTTTACCGCTGTATGCAAAATGCTATGATGACGAGGATGAAGTGACGCCACATCGCGCTTATGAATATCTGAAGGTAACCCGTGCTTTTCCACGATTTTCAATGCTACGTTTTAGCCGCGAACAGATTACACATGTTCTTGTATCCACGAAATGCACAAGCTGCTAGCCTGATTGACCATGATCAGTTAGTTGACTGTTAAATTCAAGTTTTTTGGGGGTTTACAGAGAGAAGGTGTGCTCAACTTCACCAAAGGCTTGCCGACATCGCTGGCAATGGGAAGTGAACAGCAGTGGGATAAAGAGAATGCATGGCCGCCAATGGTACACATGGTGATCGAAGGCTTCCGTACTACTGGCGATCCGCTGCTAATGAAGGTTTGAATTTCGATTCCGAATAGCTATTCGCTAGATGGGTTTTCTTGTTCGGTCACAGTAACGAACGCGCGAAGAGATGTGTTTGTTGTTGTTGTGTATGTGTGTTACAAAGGTAGTAGAGCGTAAGCTTGAAGCAAATGGCTTGAGAAAGGAAGTTTTAACTCTTCTACGCATGTTGTTGTTGGCGATGGGTATTGCTAATACAGTAGTTGTTCGACTGATTTTATATTTTCATATTTTTCCTTTTTTTTTACGTTCTTCGTTGTCAGGCTGCCGAAACAATGGCAACACAATGGCTGGGCGTCACATATAAGTCATTTATACGCACA